GCATCCGTATTTTGAGGTGTGCAAACATTGAAGGTAATGTGTACCTGAATTGGAACTTGTACGTGCTAATGACTAGTGTTCCCTTTGAAGATAAATGAAGTCAGAAGTTCATGTCTCTCATGGGGCCTATAATTCCCACTGATCTACCCAACAAAAATGGAAGCCATGATAATATGAGGGTATATGTCACTGGAAAAAGTTTACATAAGTGCGAGGCTCTAAACAATCAAATTAGGACCCACATCAAAAATTTCATTAGAAGATGTTGTTTTGAAACCCAAATATCCTCAAATTGGTCATCTGGACCTCAAGACGCATGGACATGATAAAGAATTGGATTTCAAGTCTTGAAAATAGTGCATCTTATATTGCAATTTTGGACTGTCAATTTTCAAGATTTTTAAGTTTTCATAGATCTGCTCGATCTACACTATTTTTGAAGCTTTAAATTTTATAATTATACATGAAAATATATTTTGAGACTATTACAAAGATTTCCAGTATTTAAACCATATTTTTTACACTATTTGAAGGTGCGCTTTACTTTGATTGTTTAGAGCCTTGGAATTGTATAAACCGCACCTATTATCACTACAATTATCAATGTTTTAATTGTAAATGGACCCGGTTTCTATGCAGCCGAGCCCGCATATGTAGAAATTCGGGCTTATTAATAAATCTATTTTTTAGACGGATTTTTGCACTTAATTTTTAAGGACGTATAATCTCTAACATGAAGACCATGACTATGAAAAAATAAGTAAATTTTAAAAACTACAAATAATAATTCTAGTAAGAAAACACTAGAGCCATCAGTTTCTATTATTTTTAGATGGAACACCTACTTGCATTGATCTTTAAGATGGATGCTTTATACTTTTTGGACCGCATATGTAGCCATGCGGTCCAACTTGCATGAAACAATTTTCCATTGTAAATTTCAATCTAGAAATGTGAACAAGGAGACTTGTCGAAAGGGGTCGATTGGGACATTCATCATGATTCAAAGGAAAATAGATGGAGACAACCAACAATGAAATGGAGATGGGGACATTTATGAGAGGAGACACAAAGATAGAGATTTAAATCTTTCAAAGAGGTGAAGGAATGTATGTCACGATCTAGTATCAAAAGGACAAGAATACCTAACTCCAATAAGTGTGGAGGAGAGGCATGCTAGAGATCATGATCCAATGGCAAATTCAAAGGACATGAATACCTAACTCTTCAGTTGGGGGAGAGGTGACCTGTCTACAAAGGCATTGCCACGTACCTATTTAGTAAGCATATCAATTAAGGACAAATACATAATAAGAAAGTCACAATCAATTTTAGCTGTTAGATGTGAAATTGAACGGTTAAAAATATGACATCAAAATCAGAGAAATCAAAATCAGAGAAACTTAATGCCTATTTCAAACCAAACTTCTTAGAAAATGTATCTTAGGAATGGTAATGGCGGGAAGTCTAGCTTAGTCCTAAGAAAGTACGACAGGTGCCATGAAAATGGCCTAAGGGCCGGGTATGCCACAACGAGTTAGCCCAACCCTTTTTTCCATATTTTTTTTCTTTTATTTTCTCTTTTATTATATTTTTCCCAACTTGACCCTGAAAAACGTTTCCCCGAAGGTCCATGCCCACGAACTGCAAATGAAGTATGAGCAGAGATGAAAAAACAGTATAACTAATTTCCTAAACATCACATACACATTTTAAGAGCCATGCACTTCAAATACAAGACCTCATATCTCTCACGCTCTGCTTCCTCCTTTTATCTCTCTCGATTTGGGATACTTTTGCTATAGGACAATGACCGACTTGTATGTATACATGTTCAAAGAGATTTTTTATGCGATTTTGGGGCATATTGAATGAGATGCATTACTTTTCTTAAACTTTTATTGGCATCAATATAATATGGAAAAATATACAATGAGACTATTTATTTTTTATACAAGAAGGTCGCAATCATCATTGACTGTTAGATTTGAAATAAGGTGGTTGATGGCGTGCCATTGTTTAAGCACAAAATCCAAAACAAAATTTTTTGAATGTTGTGAAATACTTTCATCCGTTAGATTTCACATCTAATAAATAAAAATAATTGCAACCTCTTTGTACAAAAAATAAATGGTCTCGTAATGTACATTCCCATATAATACATATAACTCATCTTATAAGCTCTACCTAAATGCTTAACAACCCACTCAAGTTAGACAAATGAATATTTATCCTCACATCTTACCAAAAGTACCATTGCACAAAAATGACAAAATGTCACTCAAGAATTTTCCAGCACGATTTCATCATAGGTCTTTAGAATCCCAAGAAACATGTAACCCCTAATATCAAATGGGGCTCTATGTAAGTTTTATGTTATTTTATATTTTTGGGTAGGTTAGTTGGGAGTCAAACCTTATAAACCTATGTTATTCTCTCTTACGCCATTATCACTAATCCTTAAATTGTGGTGGGTGGCCAATGTCCTATCACTATACATTGCACCTTTAACAACATATCACTATAGGGATTTCTCTAGAAAATAACATTCCATGTAAAGGCTTCACATATGAAAAGCATTTCCACAATTTTAAGAACCCCCCAATCACATATTAATTAGAACTTCTATATAGGAGAAGTATGGAAATCTCCCCTATTAGGACTACCCCTACTATATAGAATTTTTATACAGCATAGAAGTATAGAAACATTTCCCTATTAGTTAAGATGACCAATATCATTAAAATTTGGGGAGGGTTGAGATTAATAACATCAAGTCTTTACACAATAAAGTCTCATTTCTAAAACCTTGAACACCAACTCAATTGTTGAAGTGGGTGAATAGTAAGTCCCAACTACCACCATTGTTCATCATGCATGCCTCTAATGCATATCATAATCATCACCATAACAATAATAAAGGAACAGGTAGGGATAGGCATAATCTTCCAACACCTCAAAACCCCGTCAGAAAAATGTAATTTTAGTGTCAAAAATCTAAATTATAGCCCAAAATGTAATTTTAGTGTCAGAGATACAGATTATAGCCAAAAATATAATTTTAGTGTCAAAAAATCCAGATCATGATCTAAATTTTTTTTTATCCCCCTAATTATAAAATCACATTCTCAAAACATGGTCTAAACCTGGAGCATTTGCGAACACTTGAAAATTGACACCCAGATAATGTGTTTACCAAGTTATAGTATTTTTTGGGCTTAAATCTATTTTTTCAAATTCATAAATGTTGAGGTTTATGTTATGCCTTTCTAGCAGCGGGACAACAATGTCAGGTAATATTTGAGGCATGGCCTTATGTAACATTTTCCTAATAATGGTCGCAAAAAGATTTTGTGCTCCTATTGGAGCATGGCATCCATTCAATCCCTTAAGGTAAAACCCAATACAACTGTCTGGTTAGGACCCCAAATTTTGGGGATATTACCTTTTCAAGTTAGCGACTAACCTCTTTAAAAATAGCATCCACGTCCAATTTTTGGATAGGAGTGTTGGATAATTCAAAATCATAACATGAGTTCAGATAGTTAATGTTGTTGTTGTTTTTGCTGTTGTTGTTGTTGTTTCACATCCACTGACGAATGAAAAAAAAAACATAAAAAATAAGCAAAGAGAGAATGCTTGCATGCCATGTGGACCACCCTATTTTGCCGGTCAAATTTGCAAATACCCCATTGTCTAAACGCGTTTGTTTCCTTGTGAACGTACTGTACGAAGCAACGAGACCTTCTTTTGCCCTTCAAATTTCGTCGTTTATATTTTGGCCTCTATTTGTTTTAATAAAAACTATTTTCCCTTAAATCCTTAATTTGTTTTTTATTTGTTGTATGCTATATTATCAGTAAAGGTGGCCTGGCCTCGCTCTCCTCCAAAAGACTAGGATCTTGGCCACAAAATGTGACCCTAAGGCTTGATGGCCCCAGTTAATCTAGGCTTGCCCAGTTCAGCCCGGCCCGTCCCTGCCCAGCCCTTTTTTTTTTTTGCTTTGTTTTCCATTAATTTTACCCAGCCTGGCTCAAATTTAATAGGGCACGGACCTGAACTAGACTTGCCCTCTTGGAATAAGGCTGGCCCAGTCCAAGCCTTGCCTATTTTTAGCCCCAATTTTTACTCAGATTTGGGACCTAAAATGAGAATGGGAACGTTGGCCACATTTAGAAGCAATTTTTCAGAAAATGAAGTTTCTAATTCAAGGAGATTTAAAGTACATGTTATTGAATGAATAGTAAATATAAATTAAAAAAGGGCAATATTTTGGGACAAGATCCAATTTCCAAAACCTAGCTCCACCCTACTATGGCCGAATTTTTAGACCATGCTCCTATCCCAATTCGAGGAAAACAAAATTTGTCAAAAGAAGGAGAGAGAGTACTACAAATAGAGGAGAGAGAAGAATGGAGGAGCATGCTGTAGAAAGATAGTGAGCGTGAGAGGCCATGCTAATAATGGAGAAGAACTGAGTCCACTGGAGAATGTAGTAACAGTAACTGTAGCAGCCAAAGGAAAGGACGACAGTAGGCTCGGAAAGGGTCGGGCCAAGGCTGGGCCTTCCAGGGTTTAGCCCTTGCACCCATATGGCCAGCCCAGGCTTTGCCCGACCGAGTCGAAGAGGCTCTGGCTTAGGCCGGGCTAGACCAAGCCAGGCCAAATAGAATTAAAAAAAAAAAAAAAGACTGGGCTGGCCTGGCCCAGCCCTCGGATCACATTTTATTGCAGAAAACATAGTTTTTTGGGCCAGGGCCACCGGCCGGGCCAAACCCCACCAATTGCCAGCCCTAGACCAGAGAAGGGAGTTTGATTTCAAAAGCATGTAAACACCATGTCCATGCTATTATAGGCATATGTCAACATTCATCTGTCTGTATCCATATCTTAGTCATGCACCATCTCTCTCTTTTTCTTTTTCTTTTCTCTTTTTTTTTTTTCACAAAAAAGAAAGAAAGATATGCGCTCTCTCTCTCATCCCATTGGAAATCCAAAACTGAGGTGAAGTGCCCTGTTATAAGAGAGGCCAAGACCAAAGACAGATTCTACTGCAAATATTGCATTCCAATAAAATATGGCTACACCCATATTGAGAATTCCACTATCATCTTCAATAACAGATAATCTCTTTCAAGTTTCTGCCCTTTCTTGGATCCATTGTCCAATAAAACATCTATAGTACAACATGTGATTGCCTCGCTCTCTCTCTCTCTGTGAATTACACCATAAGCACCTGTTGCTATTGAATCAAGAGGCAAACTCCTCAACAAACTCTTGCAAATCGAATTGTCCATGAGAGCTCTCTATAGCACACACAACTTGCTCAAACGAGAACACAGAACAAGGCACCACTAAACCTTCTTTTTGATCGAACCCAAACTCATCTTGAGCTTTCTCTAACAACATCCTAAACAGGGGATGAGACAGGAAGTTCATAGGAACAACGTACCTTCGGCGCTCCTCCCCAACATAAACTGCCACACAACCTGGCGGTGTCGTGACAGGGGTGTCTCCCGATGCGTCGAAAAGGCACTCGTATCGAGTTTTTCGGCGGCCGAGGCTCTGGACCCTTTTAGCTATTTTCTTCAAGGACTCCATGTTTTCTCTCACAGACATGTGTGCTGAATGAGGAGTGAGAAATGGAGGGGAGGGATATAAATGGGAGGGAGGAGAGAGGTTCATGAATGGAGGTCTTAGAATGTGTTGTGCTTGATTCAATTAGGGTGGTCCTTTTGCTATGTTTGGGTGTGGGTTGGGGTGGGGGTGATGGAGTCAGAAAAGCAACGGTATGTGAAGTTCGCCTCAAATGGCCCTTTTGGTATTTTATATGAATGCAGAATCCTTCTTTTTGAAGGTCGGAAAATAAGGCTTTACAAAAGAGTCGACTGTATAGCTCCAATGTTACAAGATATAAATTCAGGAACATGGTTGGCCGGCTTTTGACTATCAAATGTAAGGGTGGCAACGGGTCCGGCCTGGGCTGGCCCGGCCCTTTGTCTCTAGCCGAATCACGGCCTGGGCTCTTTTAGGGTCGAGTCGGGCTGAGCCACGCCAAAAAAAATAAAAATAAAGCACAAAAAAAAAGGGCTGGACTTAGCCAAAATGGTTGACATTGGCCCAACGGTTGACACTGGCGTTAGCCCAACCTTTGGACCACAGTTTGTGGACCAAACCCTACTTTTATTTTAGGCCTGACCGGGCCAGCCCATTGCCAAACCTAATCAAATGTTGAGACGGAGAGAGAGGCTTGTGTGTGTGAAAATTTGTATGTTCGTTTTGCATAGCGATGTTGGGCTCACCCACTTAGAGTCCTTTCGCACGAATGCGGATATGCACTACAGAACTAGGATAGATGGGATACAAATATGCCAGAGTCGATGTCAGTATCTGTGAGTGGATATAAATATGACAAAGTCGATATGTGTATTGAGTGAAAAAACATGCAATAAAATATAAAAATAAATAAATCCTACTAGCATATAAATAAATATTGACACCGTGGTACCGAGATATACGTGGTTCATTTTTTCAGACTACGAATGAATCCACTATTAACTCAAAATTACAATAGTTTTCTAAAAAACCAACTTTTTTGGGGTCACCAATTTCTACTTCTCTCTCAAATATACCTCTAAGACATTTTTTTTCTTTCTAGAGACTTTCACCTTTTTTTTTTTTTTTTTTTTTTTTTTTTTTAGAGGCTTTCTCTCTTTCTTTAAAAAGGATGTGCATCTCTATCTCTATTTAAAAAGAAGATATGCCATAAGAGTGCCCAATTTACTTAGGACAATTCCATTGGTATACCTCATCGGACAATTCCATTGGTAAACCTCATCGGATGGAACGGGACGCCACGAGAGATACTTCTCGTTTGTGGTCAAGGCTAAGTCTTAAGGGAGAGCAAAAAAGGTAGAGTAAAGAGAATAATGATAAGGCACAAAACATTAAAAAAGGTTTTTGTATGAAATAATGCTAAAAGCAATTTCACAGAAATAGTAACAATACAAACTAGAAATATTTCCTTTTTCAAACTAATGCTCACTAGGAATATTCAATCCGAGGGGGGAAGAGAGAGATTGGTCAATTTTGGAGACATTAATCATTACCTTGAGACCTTTTTTTCATAAAGATCAATGAAGCACATTTTAAATATTTATGTGAAAAATCACTTATTTTTGTTGATATTTTAGAAAAGAAGCACATTTTAAATATTTATGTGAAAAATCACATATTTTTGTTGATATTTTAGAAAAGTCATAGTCTTAAGCATTTTAAAAAAAATATCATTTTTTTTTAAAAAAAGTCGTGTTTAAATGCCGTCTTGCTAAAGAGAGAAGGGTCAATTTTGGAGACATTAATCATTCCCTTGAATCTAACCTTTAAAAAATGGGCCGAGTTATAAGCATCCAAAGTTATTGAAGTGAGGGAACTCCAAATACAGGCTTAAACTAAGGAACATAGCCGGAAACATATACTTTTATTTTGTTTGTTAACCATTAAGTTATGGTTTACTGGGTATTTTTCAAAGGAAAAAGTTTATATAAGTGTGAGGCTCTAAACAATCAAATTATAGTGCACCTCAAAAAACTTCACTAAAAGAGGTTGTTCGATGCTTAAAAATCTTCGAATTGATCTTCTCGATCTCAAGATGCATGGATATGAGAAAAAAAAATGAATTTCAAGTTTTGAAAATAGTGCATTTTTGGACTATCAATTTTCAATATTTTAAAGTTTTGATCTACACTTTTTTTAAACTTTAAATTTTATAAGTAGCGATGAAAAAAAAATTTCAGGCCATCAAAAAGATTTTCAGTATTGAAACAACATCTTTCGACGCTATTTGAAGGTGTGCCTACTCTGATTGCTCAGAGCCTTATACAAGCCACACCTTTTTTCAAAATAGCGATGATCCAAAAAGTAAGACTTGGATTGCGACCCACAGGTATGGTAATAGAATGGTCTTTTTTGAAGATAAATTGCCACTTGCAAGAAGATTTTGGGCCCCATACACGCTTGATACACTTACCATCACTCTGGACTCTTTGTTTACACTTTATATACCTACAAACAAAACATAAGAAAAGAGAGAGAGATAAGGGTGGCAACGGGCCGAGCTTCGGCCATGCCAGCCTTGGCCGTAGCCCGGACCTTGTCCCCATATGACCAGGCCAAAACCAAGCGAAAAATAAAATAAAAGAAAAATCAAGAAAAAAAAAAGAAGAACCAGATAAGTCTGGCACTGGCACTGGCCCTAGCCCCAAACCCGTGGACCATAGTTTCTGGCCCAGGCCCTATTTTTTTAAAATTAGGCCTTCCGGCCCGGCCCGGCCTGTCCCGAGAGAGAACTCTTTTATATGATGAGAGGGAGATTGGTTAAGGAGATAAAGAGAGGACAAAGGATTAAGAAGAGAAAAAGGTCAGTTTGCGGCCCATCACGTTATCGACACAGGATTGGGCGCACTTCAATTGAGACGCCAAGTTGAGGACTTATGTCAACACCCATTCGCCACTCAATCACTATCAAAAAGGAAAATTTAATCAACTAGAATGTGCACTTCCATTACATCTTAGAACACTATGATATTGATGTACGAAAGGATAAATCAATTTTAAGAAATTCTGTCACATAGAAATTAATGGATTTTTTCATATAAATTCAGAATCTTATACAAAGATGTTCAGATAATTTAGTTGGTAAAATTTAATTGTACTTTAATATAAACTTTTCAAGTTTCGGAGAATACTATTAATATGGTCTCAATAAATGTCGTCAAATCAACCATTTTATCAATAAGAAGTGGTTACTTTAAGAAGATCTTTTCACTCAATTACCACCACAAATATTTTGTTTAAAAAAGGCCCTAAATGTCCATGTTTAGGTTTTGTATCCTGAACATGGCTAGTTCGATAACATGGATCGTAATACAAAATCAGTCTAAATGCCAAAATACATTTTTTTTTTCTTGATGCTAAACTTCGAGTTAGAGATTTATGAAAATAACATTTTGGGTTGGAACCCGGAACAACCGAGATAGTCTCATCATTTGGCTGAAGGCACTTAAGTCAAGCCAAGCAATATAAATATAAATATCCTTGCTTGTTACGGGCTTCTAACCCAAAACAAGCAAAAAAAACTTAGGCTATTTGGCTTAGGCCACTGAAGAGGAGCCAAATTGTGATAATAATGATTTTTCCCTCTAAGTTGTTTTTTCGAACTTTTCAAATCTTAAATAGCAAACGTTTAGATGCATTGCTACAAAAATAATAGGAAAACTGTCAAATCTCTCCTAAAATATCAATTGTTTAACATTTTACCCATTTTTGTCCAAGCAATACATAAAATATCAATTATTCTAACTTCTTATTAGGTTGATGGTTTTTTTTTTTTTAAAAAAAAAAAAGTAAATGACAAGCTCAAAATGACATGGTTGGAAATAGTGACAAAAAAAATAGGCAATTATAACATCACTAAAGGTACTTAATACAGTAGAAAGACGGACTATAATTCGTACAGCTGAATCCAATTAGTTAGAAAAAAGCTTTGACAGTGAGATGAAGAGGATGTTAAATGGATTATCTCTTGGCTTCTCTATGAGTAAATAAAATAATTAAAGAGGTAGTAAGTAAAAAGACATTTTTAAAGTAACCACTTCATCGATAAACTCCATTGATTAATTTCAGTACTTCAGTTATTTTCAAAAAAAGCTGTTTCGCCATGGGTATCCAGTCTTAGTGCAGGTAGTTGTTTATGCGCACTCGAGTTGTAAGCTGAAACTTGTTTCCGGTTCAAAAGTCAGTGGCTAAAATTTCAATTGACTTCCATGAAAATTTAGTGGTGGGCCCACACTTTCAGTGCATTGACTACGGTATCTTGACCTTTTGACAACCCAAATTTCGAGAAATTTAGCCAAAATTTTGACTAGAGAGTTGGCCTTCATGGAAACAATGGCCTAAGTTTTCATTGTGCTAGAAATGTACAGAAGGGGGACTATCTTTCTTGATATATTCTAACAAGGGTTGCTTCACTCTCTCTCTCTCTCTCTTGATTGTGTTTGGGTCTATCCTTTCTTTTGCACCTTTAAGCCTTGGGTCCTGAGGCAAACTCATAAATTATTAGGAAATATATACAATGAGACTACTTATCTTTAGTATAAGGTTGACACAATTAATCTCAACCAATGGATGTGAAATTGGGTAGCTACATTTATTTTATTGACCAAGCTCAAAGCTCAAAAGAAATTTTCTCAAATTTTATAGGCAATTGTGACCTCCATGTATGAAAGGTAAATGGTCTCCTTGTATCAACCCCAAATTATTATGTATTGACTCTTAATTGGCTTTATGCTGGCTTTGCTTCAAGATTTCTGACAACCCAATGATCCTACTAGAATGTTGCTAGACTTTCTGGAAGCCATTTATTGGCACTTGCTTGTGATAAACGTGTGAATACAAAATAGTACACAAGCCACTTTTGTAATAAATAAATCATCTACTCATGCATGGGCAACCTGAGTGTTGAACATAAATTCCACATGAGATGCAACAGAGCAAACCTCTCTCTCTCTCTCTCTCTCTCTCTCTCTCTCTCTCTCTCTCTCTACTACTAACTACTAACTAACTAACGTAACGTAACGTAACGTAACGTAACTAACTAACGTAACGTAACTAACGTAACGTAACGTAACGT